TTTAAAAACTAGCCTACTTTTACTAGATTTGTATGTTGAAGGTTTGTGTTACATATTCATACATTGTAACATGTATTAAATGCATTAAAAGTATGTAAGTTTGAAGTATTCCAGAAATCTAAATGATACAACAAATATAACTGATGTAGAGGACTCATCCTCAGCTGGAAACCCGTTGGTATTATTTCCCTAGAGCATTAAATGGCTGGGAGGGTGTAGGGTAGTTGTAGCCGGTGTTACAATTGGGCTGGTAGGTGCTGGTGGCTGTTACAGTGTTGACCTGTTGGTTGTAGACGGTGGAGGTGACGTAGTTAGTGTTATAGAGTGTCGTAGTTATGTATACTACGCGGGTCTGACCTGGCAGCTGGACAGTACTGACGGAGGTAGTGGTGACGGTGACGTATTGTGTCTGGGCCGGAAGATTCACAACAGATGGCACCACTTGTTGAGTGTAGATGGTTGTGGGCACCACCTGTGTTGATACCTGGGTACTCACTACTTGTTGTGGTACCGTTACTGTCTTGGTAATATACTGCGGCACCTGCTCTGTACGGAAGACCGTAGATACCACCTGCTGTTCCTGAGTGCGTGTCACGTACTGTGTCTGGGTGCTGGTAAGCACCACCTGGGAGAAGATGGTGGTAGTGACGGGTACCACCTGGGTGGAGGTAATAACCTGGGTCTGACCTGGCTGAGTGATGGTCTGAGTGACGACGTTGGTGCGGATAACTTGAGTTGTACTCACCACGTCCTGAGCAGGTACCACCACGGTGGAGTAGATGGTACTGTACTGAGTACTGTCCACTGTACGGGTCTGTCCTGGGACCTGCTGGGTTCTGGTCACATACTGGGTCTGGTAGATTGTGCTGACTACCTGTTGAGGAACTACTAATGTCGACACCACGTTCCTGATAATTGTTGATGGTACTTGCTGGATGCGTGTCGAGTATACAGTCTGATACTGAACTTGTGTCCTCACGTCTTGTTGCGTCTTAGTGACGTAGTTGATCTGAGGAGGCAGAGTTACGACCTGTGTGCGGACGTTGTCCTGGGTGCGTGTGACGGTCACTGTCTGGTACTGGACGGAAGAAACCACTTGTGTGCGGACGATCTCGGAGTAGACAGTGGTGTAGACCTGCTGTGTACGGACAGACGTCTGAGTGACGTACTGCACGTCAGTGTTGTAGACGGTGGTAGGGATGACCTGGGTGGAGTACTGTGTCTGTGTACGGTAGACGGTAGACGGCTGACAGGGTTCTGGTCGTGGTGGAAGGTACCCACCTAAAGATGACTGTAGATCAAGTCCATTTCCAAAAACTTGTCGCTTTTGTCGCTCCACCGAGGCTGCCAGTGCATAACCCACCAGTAACGACAACAGTAACGACCTCATCCTGGCGAAAATAAAAAAAAATATTACGTATTTAATTTCGTAAAACACACACACACACACACACACACACACACACACACACACACACACACACAACACACACACACACACACACACACACACACAGAGTGGTGGAGCACGTGGAACGGAACAGGAGTATAAATGCCAACCAGCACGGATTCACGGAAGGCAAATCCTGTGTCACAAACCTTCTGGAGTTTTATGATAAAATAACAGAAGTAAGACAAAGAGAGAGAGGGTGGGTTGATTGCATCTTCTTGGACTGCAAGAAGGCCTTTGATACAGTTCCTCACAAGAGATTAGTGCAGAAGCTAGAGCATCAGGTGCATATAACAGGAAGGGCACTGCAATGGATCAGAGAATACCTGACAGGGAGGCAACAACGAGTCATGGTACGTAATGATGTATCACAGTGGGCACCTGTGACGAGCGGGGTCCCACAGGGTCGGTCCTAGGACCAATGCTATTTTTGGTATATGTGAACGACATGACGGAAGGGTTAGACTCAGAAGTGTCCCTGTTTGCAGATGATGTGAAGTTATATGAGGAGAATTAAATCTGATGAGGACCAGGCAGGACTTCAAAGAGACCTGGACAGACTGGACACCTGGTCCAGCAAATGGCTTCTCGAATTTAATCCTGCCAAATGCAAAGTCATGAAGATAGGGGAAGGGCACAGAAGACCACAGACAGAGTATAGGCTAGGTGGCCAAAGACTGCAAACCTCACTCAAGGAGAAAGATCTTGGGTGAGTATAACACCGAGCATGTCTCCGGAAGCACACATCAATCAGATAACTGCTGCAGCATATGGGCGCCTGGCAAACCTGAGCACAGCATTCCGATACCTTAGTAAGGAATCATTCAAGACACTGTACACCGTGTATGTCAGGCCCATACTGGAGTATGCAGCACCTGTTTGAACCCGCACTTGATAAAGCACGTCAAGAACTAGAGAAAGTACAAAGGTTTGCGACAAGGTTAGTTCCAGAGCTAAGGGGAATGTCCTATGAAGAAAGATTAAGGGAAATCGGCCTGACGACACTGGAGGACAGGAGGGTCAGGGGAGACATGATAACGACATATAAAATACTGCGTGGAATAGACAAGGTGGACAAAGACAGGATGTTCCAGGGAGGGGACACTGAAACAAGAGGCCACAATTGGAAGTTGAAGACACAAATGAGTCAGAGAGATTGTAGGAAGTATTTCTTCAGTCCATTAGAGTTTGCTTAGGCAGTGGGAATAGCCTAGAAAATGTCCGTAGTGGAGGCAGGAACCATACACAGTTTTAAGACGAGGGTTTGAATAAAGCTCATGGTGCGTGTGAGAGAGAGGGCCTAGTTAGCAACCGCGTGAAGAGGCGGGGCCAGGAGCTAGGACTCGACCCCTGCAACCAACATACAAATTAGTGTGAGTACAAAATAGGTGAGTTACAACACAAATACCGCCGTTTAAAAACAAAATTGGGAAGAAGGAGGGAGAAGAGAAGAAAGCATCCGTTATATAAATTTTTTATGTGTACTTGCCAGAAATACATTAATGCCTACCTTCAGTCGAAGTTAATTTTTGATTTGGAAGTGTGGTTTTAAATTGTAAACAAGTTTTAATAATTCTTAGTTTTATAATTTACTTTTAACCAAATATAAAAGTACGTATTCTCTGAAAATATTGTGTTAGAGATGCAGTGTAATGTCTTCGTGGCAATGTAGTTTTTACTTAACCCTGATTTATGTGTCTATGTTTTTCAGGCTGCGTTGTATGTAATGTTCACTAAATTGGTTTTCAAGTTCACACGTTATATTGTTTATTTTGCCAAAGTTAGAAGGGGTTGCTGGAGCGGTTGTAGTTGTATCCCTGTCTTGCCTCAGGTGGCTGTGATGGTTCTGTGTGATGGTGAGCTGTGGGGCTGGTGATGGTGATAGACCACCTGTTGTTGTTGCTGGGTGTAGCACCTGTGGTGGTCACCACACGGTCCGGGGGCCAGGCACTTGCACCATGAGGTTCTGGTTTGCTTCCACGTGTCTGGTACACAGGAGCGGGAGAAGTGACCGTACTGGGTCTGGGACCACGGTCTGTAACTGAGGTGAAGGGCTGAAATTGGTCTCGTAGATGGTGGTGTAGATTGTAGATGATGTTGGGTACGACTGTGTATTTACGATTCCGGAGGAACTACCTGCGTTGCTGTTCAATGTTGAGATGACAACACTGGTCTGGTACACCTGCTCAAGAGTAGTGAAAGCTGTTTCATATCGGGTGTTGTTGACGGAAGTATAAGGGATGACCTGTTGATGTGGAAACAAAAACTGGTCCTGGATACATCTTGTCCACTAAACCCGACGCTGGTCCTTGCACTACTTGTAGTACACGCGTTACGTCACATAACGTGTTTTGGCTAGCTGTTGACCGCTCTCAACAATGAAGGTTGAAAGACGGCTACTGAAACGGGTCTGTACTATGGTCAGGGCATGGGACTGACTCCACTTGGGTCTGCTGCCTGTGTTTGGTTGGTGATGGTCACGGGCTGATTTAGGTCTAGCTATGAAGTGCCGAACCACCTCCACAGGTATTACCTGTGTTTGCACCTGGTGTGCTAGTGACGTCGTAACTGGACCTGTCGGGGCACAACGCGTCGTTGACGTACGTAAACTAATTTCTTGACGAGGTGAGGCCTGGTTGGGATTGTTTGGGTCACAATTATTGTCATTAAAATGGGGGTCGTACGCTGGATCACATGGTCTGGTACTGGACCTGAGTTTGGACGCGAGTCTGGAAGACAGTTGTTGGTACGAACATGTTGGTCTGACCAGGTGGTGGGTGGACGTACTGTGTGTTGGCCTGTTTACGGTCTGGAACTGACGGAGGTATGGACTCGAGTGTCATAAACTACTGAAGTGACCGTTTCACAGGACTACAGCTGGTGGAAGGAGGTAAATTACCTCCCTGTGGAGTAGGCCGAGGCCAGGGTCACCAACAGCAGCGGTCGCCGTCAAGGCGCCAATCCGGCATAAGAGAATTCCACTAGGTTTAGAACAGCGGTGATTGGAACCCCGCGGTCTCGGCAACTCATTTTTGGAGATATATAGTCCATTCACGCGCGCTCCTTGTTGCAATTTCTCCTTTTTTTGTGGGCTCTGACCCGTGGAGGGTCTTTTTCGCCCCAGATGAGCCACGAGGCGCTCAGACACTGGATGTTGGCTGAGTGGAGGGTACGAATGGACCTGTGTATTGCTGATTTCGTTTTACAACTGTCTTGGTTTCACTGTTTGGCTAATGAGGGAAAAAGACACAGGGACAGAGGCAAGCTTCTGCTGTGACAATTTATCGCTCTATGTAGGCTTTATGAAGTCAGATTATAATTATCAACGCGTGTATTATAGAGCAAAAATTAGTCATAATTAAAGATTGGTCTGCAAAACTGTTCTCTTCATACTGTGGGCAGCTCACTACTGTTGGTTATATGTAATGTTTCTTGTCATATTTGTAGACGTTAGGATAGTTAACTTGTCAGCTGCGAGCTTGCTGGAAGGCCATCTGGTTTTGAGGTAATTTTAGAATTGCGATCGAACTGGGAAAAGCTTTTGGTTCTAGGCAACTTTGAATGTGCCAGGTACTGGAAGGCTTCCTGGGTGTGAGGTAACTATAGGATTGCGAGCGAGCCGGAAAGGCTTCGGTGCTGTACTAACTTAAAGAGGGTGTCGTGGCATCATAATACAGAAAACCGTCTCCGGCAGTGGAACTTCGCCGATGACACCGCTCAGTGATTGTGTCCGCTTTTTGTACCTGGGTCGTATACCTGCTTTATCTTATGATGGCGTACCAGCGCGACAATTTCTACCCATCATTTTATAACCAAAATGATATTTGTGTGTGTGTTAACCCAGGTGAATTTTGGATGTTGCGTAGTAATGTGTGAGGATCTCTCTTTCAAGGATCACATACAGTGCCACTATCACAAAGTGCAAAGGAAAATTATAGGTTGGATAATGAGTAACGTTCAAAACGAGAGATTAGCCAAGCATTGATGTTCCTTTTAAATCACTTGTTCTCTCTAGGCGGATACTGCTGTCATTAACTTCTCCAGTCAAAAGCAGCGGTGAAATTGCAGAACTAGAGAGTGTACAGAGAACCCTTTCCTGCTCGTATTTAAGTTTATCAATGCACCCTGAACTACTGGGAAACGTTGGAAGCACTTGACTTGACTCGTTGGAACGCAGGAGAGAGAGAGATATATAATTACAGTTGGTAAATCCTAGAAGGAATGGTCCCGGAAATATGCCACAGGAAATCTCTACCTACGAAAGTAAAAGACTGGACAGGCGATTGCAAAAAAAACCCAATTAAGAGTAGGGGGCGCCATTTTTGGGTTACACTTAGAGGAAAACACCATATAGTGTCCCTGGGCACAGGACTGTTCATCAGCCTCCCACCAAGCTTAGGGGAACATTAAAATGGTATAAATATTCCGACAGGTTGTTGGTAAGTCACATATGTAACAGTTAGGTATTTTATTTTGGAAACGTTTCGCCTTCACTGTAGGCTTCTTAGTCGAGTACAGAAAATTGATAGAAGCAGAAGAGACTTGAAGACGAGTAATCAGTCCATCACCCTTAAAGATTATCGGTGGCAAGCCCGCAGTGGCAGGAAGAGCATTGTTCCCGATGTCTGAAAACAAAATGTTTCAGACAAATATTGTTTCAGATTCGGAAAAAACTATGCTCTTCTCCAGATGAGGGACTGACCACCTTCAAATCTTTAAGAGGTGATGGATGATTACATCAGTCTTCAAGTCTCTTCTGTTCTATCAACTTTTCTGTTACTCGACTGAAGAAGCTACTGAGTTGGCGAAACGTTCAAAATAATGATACCTAACTGTTGATATGTGTCTTACCTTATCAAGCATGGGGAATTATCAATAGGCCCCTGGTCTGCCTTCAAGAGGGAGCTGACCGATACTAAAGTCAGTGCACGGATCAGACTGGCTATATGGTTCGTACGTTGGACTAGTG